GCCCTCAGTTGAAAAATCAGCTCTCAGTCTCCTCTTCTCCCTGAAATATTTCTTTTCAAATGATTATTTTAACTTCTGTGTATGTACTGTAACTCTAAAATTTATGTTTGAGTTTGCTGTTTTTCTTCCTCTTCCCTTCCCACTGCCATCTACCTATGCGTTGCCTCTTTAGCTAAAGAGTGGGATAAAAATGCTTTGCACAATTAAACAAATACATATTAATAAATACCTCCTGCTCTTTCCACCAGTCCAAGCCAGGAACTAGTGACTTTTGCACCTGCCTCAGTGAAGATATTAACAACTAGCTTATCTTTTATCGCTCACTGTTTGTCTGTTTGAACAAGGAATGGTGAATGGTATCATCATCCAGCCTCATGTGATTTATGTCATGTTGTTGTGCAACTTTAAGTTGTTTCTGACTTATGGCAACCCTAAGACAAACCTATCATGGGATTTTCCTGGCAGTTTTCTTCAGAGGGGTTTGCTGTCCTCTGAGGCTGAGAACATGTGATTTGCCCAATGGCAATGGGTTTTCATGTCTCAGCAGGGAATCAAACCCTGGTTTCTAGAGTTGCAATTCAACACTCAAACCACTATGCCACACTGGCTCTATGATTTATGTCATGATATGGTGGCTACTCCCTTCCTCTTTCTCTTTTTTGAAATACCTCCTCTCTGCTGATATCATGTCAAATGGATGTCATCAGAGTCCATTCATGTATAGCACTATAATTCCACTTTAACTGTCATTGTCTGCCATGGAATTTTGGGATTTGAAGTTTGGGGGGGTATTTAGAAATCTCAGGCTGAGAGCTCCAGTGCTTCCCAAATCTACAGACTCCAGGATTCTATGGGCTGTTGCCATGGTAGTTAAAGTGAAATGGGGACTATAATTGTGCAGTATTAATGGGACCCAGGTGAAGGCAAGACACCAAAGGTTGACCAGCACAGGAAGGCAGGCAGACAGAGGCAGCAAACACCATTACATTGCCACCACCCAAATCAAGAGCTCACTCAGAGCTTGGAAACTATGGGAGAAAATATCATATTTTTGTCCCAGTCATCCATTTCAACTCACAGTGTGATAAAAACAATAGGATTTCATTTTCCTCATCACTATCAAAAGCCAGTCCCTTGGCTTTTGTAAACACATGTGTTTAGATCAGAAGACTTCAATCAATTTGAGCAATTTTAAGGGTACAGATTAGAATTTAGGAATGTACGATCATGTATAGAGAATGTGAGCCCTCCAGATGTTGTTGGGCAGTAATCCCAACAGCTCTTCATTGTATAGCTAACGATAATGGATGATAGGAGTTGCAGTCCAACAATCCACAATCTGGAGGACTACCTATTCCCTATCCCTCTTATGTAGAATTAACACCTGAAGTCCTATAGAGACAAGAAAAAATTCAAGAGGCCCATTCATGTTCATGGTTTCCCTCCCTCTGAAAGATTTTCTAGTCCATGGTCTGGGGTGATGCATGCTCTTTACTTTTAATAGTCTCTTGCTAAATATCTGTAAAGTTGAGCAAGTTGGTTTTAATGAATTATTTTCATTGTAAACAGACCAATCCCTTAGCAATACATACATACACTCTTGTGATCTTAGTATCTAGTGGATAGAAGACCACAGAAAACCTCTCCCTGACTAGTCCAGGGTCAAGTTGTGTTATTCATCTCGTTTTTCCAGAGACAAAATGGCAATTGGCTCTTTCATTTGCAAGAGTTAAACACTTTCAACTGGGTGGTCCTCTTAGGTAATCTATAGAAAACTACAGGACAGTCATTGAGGTCTATCAAAAGACAGCCATCAAAAGTGGGAATGGAAACCCCATGAATCAACACTGTGTTAGGCTTCCTAAATACCACCCATTCCTTGACTTTTGCAAACATGTCTATTTAGATCTAAAGACGTATTCATGAAAGGAGGAAACCGATCCTCCCATGCCACCCAAAACGATTGTGACTAAAAATGCCAAGCTTTCATTTGGGGTTGCCCATAAGCAACTGAAAGATGGTTGAGAAATAAAGTCAAATGTTTCCTTGTCTGTGCTGTTATATTTGAGCTTGCAGGAAAACTCATTTGAGCTGTCTATGGCCACAAAGGTCATGGACAGACTAATAACCCAACTATTTCCCCCAAAGTACCCTGTGTACAAAAGGGAGGACAATGAGAACAATATTTTTTCATATTTTCTAATCTGAGGTAGAATTTTGTTTTTAATATAGAATTCAAAGATATAGCTGTATTAATCTGAAAAATCAGTATGCAAAGGGACCTTGTAACACCTATGAGACTAACTGAAAGAAAGAAGGTAGTAGCATGAGCTTTCATAGAATTGATTCAAATCTACAGAAAGTTCATGTTATCAAATGTTTTCAATGCAGTTTATCTTTCAAATAAAAGGATGAACAAAGTCTTCATTGGCTGTTAAGTATCCCTATTTAACAAACGTTGTTGTTATTTGTTGTAAAGTCTGACTTATGGTTATCTTCTGAATGTGAGATCTCCAAGAGTCCCGGTCACCAGCTGCCCTGCTCAGGTCTTGTAAGCTCAGGACTGTGGTTTCCTTAATTGAATCAATCAACCTGTAGTGTAGGCACCTTATTTTTCTATGACCTTCCACTTTACCAAGCATTATTGTCTTTTCTAATGAGTCATAGCATCTCACGATGTGTCCAAAATATAACAGCCTCAGTTTAACCATCTTCCCTTCTAGGGAAAGTTCAGGCTTGATTTGCTCTAAGACCTGTATATTTGTTTTGTTGTAGAGTTGTAGTCTTGTGAGATTTTAAGCCTTCTCTGTCAGAGTGCTCTGGTGCCACAACAAACTGCAGACCCCAGGATTCCATAGCATTCAACCATGGCAGTTAAAGCGGTGTCAAAGTGCATTATTTCTGCAGTGCAGATGCAGCCTTAGAGGAAGGCAAAGGCAAAAACTCCTCTGAAGAACTCTTGCCCACAAAATCCTATGAGTTGTCATATGTCACCTTGAAGGCACATGACAACAAAGTTCATAACCTTTCATCAGTAGATCTGAGCTTATAAATTTTCTCTTCTGCAATACAACTTCCAGTGTTTCCTTGCCAGCATGACAAGGGACAATTCCAGATGAGAAATTCAGACTAATCCAAAATAACAATTTTCTAAGTTCTATGTTCAACTAAATTTGCCATCACCAATTAAAAGTGGATCCTAGCAAAATGAATAAACAGCTCAGTCAACTAAATTCTAGTTATTTAATCTACTAATTATATTAATTGTATTCTAATAAATTTTTACCAGGGGATTCCTCAGTAAAAGGTACAGTTGTTCAGTTTTAAAAGCTATTTTGATGTCTCTGTGTTAGTGTCACAGACAAAAAAGGAGAGAGAAAATACTGAAGATGGCTGTTCCTTCTACCAGTGAGTGATAACTTTTGCATATCTATTTCCTCTCAAAATACACCTATACAGAAGTTTGGGACATACTTAGATTTTAGAAATGAACTCAGACTGAAGTGCTAACTTGGTAGCTTTGCTCATCAATGCTTCATTAAGTGCTTTAGGGAGGCATGAAATTAGATCCCTGCATTATCTCTCCAATGCCCCAGTGCACACAATTTTCCTTCAAAACTTACTTTTCTTCAACTTGGTGGTATTTGTCCTGATTTTCCAGTGTAGCATAACAATGCATTCGTGATTAACATTTTCACATGGCATTGCATTCAAAGCACGATTATCCCACAAATATCTGATGATAATCGTGCAATTGCGCTAATGGTTTTCACATGACATTGCAATGAAAAGCAATTAAAGTGCCATTATCCCGGAAATAACCAAGCAATAAACAACAACTAATCATTCACAGAATTTTCCCATGAATTTTTTTTTGCTGTTTATTGCCTGGTTACTCCCTGGTTATTCCCAGGATAATGGCTCTATTGTGTGAAAATGTTAATCACGTTTTAATTGTATTTTAATCTTGATTGTGCAATTTTGATGGGTTAATCACTGTTTAAACTAGCAATTTTCTCCTGTGTGATAAACTCCATAGCAGGGATAATGACAGCAGCAACAGGCCACAAGAGGGAGGAGCTGAAGGTAAATTGATGGGATCTATGAGATTATGCACTACTAAAATACCCTCTCAATTTCACTCCCTAATCCAGCCAATATTTTGTCTTAGCTCTAGTAAATATGCTTATAGTTGACTGACTAATCAACTGGGGGGGGATTAAGTTCTAAACATCTGGAATACCAAATGTCCTGGAACTGTGGCTGAATTTATTAAATTTCAATCCAACAGCTGTCAGATTCTGAGATGGCTTATCACCTTCCAGTAGATATAAATTAAAGTTATCTTTCTGTTGCTATTAGCAATAATAGCTAAATGGAACTTTTTCATTCGGGGCAGTATACCATAGAATACCAACTGCTGTGGCAATATAATGTCCAATGGTTATTGCTTTCCTACCTTGCTTATGGTTTACTGCAGATGTCTGACTCCCCAGTTCTCCCTCTACTTCCCTAGTGAGGATTATTTTCAGTCTCAGAGCCACGTTGGGTGAAGGGTAGTTAGATAAGTGATAGTTTGAGGTTTATTTGTGAATAAAGAATGACCATGATCTTGCATCAGAGATGTAATTTTGAAAGTATAACTACATATAATCTTCTGATGCAACTTCCCACACCTACCTTAACAGCCACCAGCTGCACTGAGCAATGAAGGTCTGTTCTGCTGGGGATTGGGGCACATCTGGATGATGTTTCTAGCCCCCTTCTGCAGCCATCTGCGGTGTGACAAGGAAGAGGTGTCCTACTTCGGATTGTCATATACCAGCTTTCTGGAAGTGCTGCACCCCAACTGCCAGCAGAACAGCTTTCCATCACTTGAGGTAGCTTCTGGCTTTTAAAGTAGGTTGAAGGGGACATTCAATTAGGAATTGTTAGGAATTGGAGGCACTGAGTTGCAGTGGCTCCATTCCTTCCTCTCGGGTATCTCTCCAATGCCCCAGTTCACACAATTTTCCTTCAAAACTTACTTTTCTTCAACTTGGTGTTGCTTGGGGACAGTTATTCTACAAAAAAACCCAGCTTAATTGTGGTGTCCCTCAAGGTGCCATTCTGTTCTCAATGCTGTTTAACATATATATGAAGCTGCTGGGAGAGATCATCCGGAGACATGGGGCTGGGTGTTATAAGTATGCTGATGAGACCCAGATATATTTCTCCATGTCTCGGTCTTCATCTTCGGCTTCTGATGTCATCCCCTCAATGACTGTCTAAAGGCAGTAATGGACTGGATGAGGGAAAACAGATTGAGATTGAATCCGGACAAAACAGAGGTACTCACAGTAGCAGCCCCAAAACCAGGCATTGGGATACAATCTCCAGTCCTGGATGGGCTGACACTCTCTGTGAAGGACTGTGTTCACAGTCTGGGGGTACTCCTGGATCCGTTGCTCCAGATGACTAATCAGGTAAATATGATGGTCAGGAGTGCCTGTTATTAGCTTCGGATGATATGCCAGCTGCACCCTTTACTGGAAATAAGGGACCTGGAAACTGTGGTGCATGTGCTAGTAACCTCCTGTCTTGACTTCTGTAACATGCTCTACATGGG